CAGTCGGGCGGACAGATGTTTTGCCACCAATCGATGTTTTGGTATCAAAAACCCAAAAAACAAAAAACGTGACTACACCATGTATTAGGGGAAGTAATTTGCTGGTAATAGGAAGAATATTTGTGATTCTTGAGCCTGGCAATATGTTTTGCTTTTGAAAAATCGCAAATCGTTTTCCAGCAATACTTTCTCTAATCGGCGCATCAAGCATATAAACGGCTGTACTCCTTCAAAATGATACACGTATCATTGTGCATCAACATTATATTCTGTAGGGTTTCAAGATTACTGATTTAAACTTCTATGAGCACCTGTATTGGTAGTTAGAACCTGCAGATCATTAATTGGAAAATTGAAATAAAATCTCAAACGTCACTGTTCAAAGTTGTAGCTGGCTAGTTCCGTGCAACATGTCATGAATTTCAAATCTTGAGCGAAAAGAAGAAGTTGGTATAGTTCAGTGGTATAATACAGATGTGTTCGAATCAGAGTTGTGCCGTAGACTATAATTTTATGTCTGCGCGTGTAATTTACACGCAATCGACATGTAGACTTCATGACTCATTTTACGTGTAGACTACGTAGACAACGTAATTTGTGAAGACTACTTATTTTTTTCACATCAAATTATCCAAAAAAGTTTAGTAAAAGTGGTAATAGTAGAAGTATGCTGAAATTTATTATTAAAAATGTTATTTTTGATTCAATAAGTTAAACAAAATATACCGCTCTTGATGAAGAAATGACAACCTCCGTAATCATCTCAAGAAATCGGTAGGAATTGTTTTCACTTGCACATCACACATCTCTGCATCCGGCTCTTTCCCTCCATGTGCAGTGTCACGAACCCCATGCGCAGAAATATTGCGCAGATCCCTGATCTTGTCACCAACCACTTCGCTCCTCGCAAGTGAATCGGGCGGGATACGTATTTTACAGAGAGGAAGGCAATTCCAGTCATGACTGTCACCCACCCCATAAATATTTTTGAAACAAAACAAATGTTAACTAGAAATTTTAGAAATGTTTATTCATAATGGTAGAACTCCTTTGGATGTGATCCAATCAATATGTAGTATTGCGTTGGTAAATAGAGTATAATAATTATACTCAATTTATTAATCTTTAATTATTATAAATAAATGTTGACTTTGGGAACGGAGCATGGCTCTCGTAGATTCGCCCTTTATCAGCAAAAAAGATAGATTTCCGTTGTCCATATAGATTACCATTGTCTATGCAGTATAGGTTGTTTTGTTAACGTGTAGACGTGGACTATGGTTCTTTACGCTTAAACGCGCACCACTGGCTCAAATAATCAGACTCAACAAAAAATTAAAAGTTTTGATTTTGTGAGATAACAGTTTCCCATGGCCCTGAAAGTCTTTTCTAAGAATTAACCTGCCACATTATTTCTAATAACATAACTTTTATGAAGCTGAAGTGTCGCTTCAGCTAAGACTAAGCACAGAACTAATAGTACTATCAGGATTAACTGCAAATGGCTTCTCCGTGCGATAGTACAGGCGTTGTTCTATGTGCTTTCACACTCAGTATTGTGACGTTTCTTTTAAAAAGTGAGACCATTCCACATTTTGTGGTAGATCAGTTTAATGGTTTATTAGCGTGAAGACTATAAAGTGATTTTAAAGGATTACACGCTAACAGTGCGAAATGGGAAGGGGAATGACCATTTCCCACGTAAAGTTGCAGTTGTTAAAACTCTTCTGAATGAAGGTTTCAATACAGAGAAGCATTTTGCTTAGAAGCATAAGACTCGCAATAAACTAAAAATCCGTCAGTAAAGACAGTTTTGCAAAGAGAGAAAATAAAACATTTCACCAAAAGACAGTAGAAAAATGTGAGCGAAAACCAATGCTCTCTTCTCAAGGTATCAGAAAACAAAATATTAGCTCTGAAGAATAGAAAAGCTACTTCTAAAGAATTAAGTACGATGATGGTTGACTATGGAGCACGTATTTTCCCAGAAAGTGAAAGGAGGGGACATAATATCACGAAGCCCCAGAAAAAAGAACTTAAATTACTCCAGCAATGGCAAAGAAACGCGTCGAATGTCCGCGAGGTCTCAAGCACTAGACGTGTGAAGGCTGGAAGAAAGTCTGTTTTAGTGATGAATCATGTTTTACTACATCTGACAAATGTTCCAGATTTGTTCGTCGTCGATCTGGTGAGCCGTTCAAGTTCGAATGTGTACAAAAAACTGTTAAACATCTAACATCGGATATAGTGTGGGGCGTAAAGTCATCCACGAGTCCATGGAGGTTCTATATCAGGGTTGTCCAACTGGCCCGCGAAAGGTTATTAGGCGAAAGTAAAAGTTCCTTTCATCCATGTCGGGCACATTAGGCAACTAGCGGACACGCCCTGCCGGGGTCAACCCCTGCTTAATGAAATAATAGGTTAAGTATAGTTTTAAGGATTTTTTTCTAGTGAATTCAGAAGTTCAAAAGCATCCCAATGTGTTTCACTGCGTTATGGCATAGTACGACATGATAACACGCATGGTTGCATCCCCTCCGTATCAGAACAGACGAAATTAACAATGGGGAAATCAGGTGGAGATCGCCCGAGTAAAGAAGATATGGCCCGCAATCGTATTGAAAGTTTTAGATGTGGCCCATGCGACCTTCGCAAATGGACATCCCTGTTCTATGTAACGATGACACAAGACCAATACTTAAAAGTTCTCAAGATATTACAACGGTGAAAGTAGTAACCTGGTTTAATAAACGTATTTATTCGTGTAGGTATTTGTACGTGTTTATGCCCGACGGCGCACCACTGTCATCAAGTAAAACTATCTATGTATTTCATTGCCCAGTGACTTGTTAATAACATTTCCTATTAGGGAAATAAAAACTGAGTATCAATAGTAATAGAGAATCAACTGCTGTATTTTAAAGTTGCTACAGGGCAGACTATAATTTTCTATGTTTTGCTTGCTTGTTTTTGTTGTTGTTGTTGTTGTTGTTGTTTTCTTTTAACGACACTAAAACATTGAACCATGCCTTGAAAAAAATTTAAGAACCTAATAGTCCGGGTCTTAATCACTCAGGCAGTGAGACTTCCATGACATTGAAAATTGTCGAAATACAGGCCTTACCATGTTCACGTTTTCCTTAGTTACGAGAACGCAGCAAATCTGGCATCGACGTCAGGCCATTACACGGTGAAGTGACCTCGCCGCAATACAAGATGGCAGTCTCTTTGTGCAAACTAGTGACCGAATTGAGTGCCCACATTCGTCAAACATTAACCCAAGCACTCACGAAGGAAGGAGGGGAAGGGGTTAAGGGCTCACCACTGATTGTTTTTTATATATTTCATTTTGGGAAACCACTGATATTGTTTATAATGTGTATTTTGATTAAAATATGATATAATTTATCTCATGCGTTCGTTTTAATTTGAGTTATTATAACATGTAGTGGTGTGGGTAAAATATATTTGAAACTATTAACTTGCATACTGAACATTAAGAATACATTTTGGAAACATGTGTAGTATTTTAAGTCACACACTCTAACACTCGCACACACTCTCACACACACTTACATTAACACACACACTCACACACACACACACTCACACACACACTCTCACACACACTCACGCACACTAACACCCACTCACACACTCACTCACACAACACTCACACATAGTAACTACTATTGAAAATGGAAGGCAGCACTCACAAGTCCCACTTTCTCAGTTAGGGAATTGTTGTTCCCTGGGCAGAAAAAAGTGTTTTTTTTAATTTGAAGTGTGTATGGCAGCCCACACGAGCTCCTTGCACGCCTGGGAAGCCAGGGCAACTTCCGCTAACTCCCCTTTAACTTCTTTCCCTCCAAATTCAGAAAGGGCGGTACACGCACAAGGTGGAGCGGCGCGAGGCGGTGAATATTGGCTTCATATGCAACTATTCGCCAGATTTGCTCTTCAGTGTTAGTCAGTAACATGGCCACAACTTGGATGACTTTACGACTGCAGAATATATTCACCGAGCGTAATTGCGTCCAACAAGGTGACGGAAATGATGACAATTATATGCATTATTATTATTATTATTATTATTATTATTATTATTATTATTATTATTATTGTTGTTTATATTATTTGCTTATCGGCCATTACTGACCACGCTACACGTTCTCTTTCGAGGCCCAATCGTGTTCTATCTTAGAGAGAGTTTTACCGTGTTTTATTGTGGGGATTAGCTTTTTAGCTATATCCCTTGATAAGGGCAAGGTTGTTACGCCTTGAAGTGTTATGACGATGATGATGATGATGATGATGATGATGAGGGGTGAAGGGACAATCAGAAATACTAACATGTCTATGCAGGATTCGAACCCGCAGCCTCCTCGGCGCAGACGACGGCTACCGCAACCGTCTGCGCCATGGGGCCGACGTACATTGTTTTTTTCTTTAAATTCATAATGTTGACATACCATTATAGTTATGATAATAAATATTATTATCCCTAAATTCACGGTTAAAGACTTTAGTGTTTGGTTATAATATTTCCAGACTCACATTCGGCTCATCTCGTTTTCCAAACTCCTGTATTTAAGATAGTTGAACATAGACGTTGCCTTCTCCTATCAAAAACGTTCGATTACTATTTCTTGTCACTTGGCGACTTAGGAGCTGGGAGTGGAACATTTTTATCCAATCGGGAGATTCAATTTTAGAAGTTGTAGCTCCTAATAGAATAACAGTGCCTCACTGAGTACCAAGAAATTTTAATCAAAGGATGTATATCAGTTGTGAAACGCACACTTGAATTTCAATTTCGCCATTATATTAATGGGTAAATGTGGGAAGCCGGTAACTGAAAACGACCATGTTGAGGTTCCAGGTAGAGGATATCCAGGTTTTTTCTCGGAAGTCAATCTTCAGTTTACAATCGCATAGAAAATGTTCTTTTGAGCAGTGTGTTTTTTGTTTACCGAAGGATAATTTGTTTGTTGTTCCAGGCGAATGTTCCCAGTGGTGAAGGTGAGCACGTCGGGGCTGGACCCCACGGCCATGTACTCACTGCTGCTGGAGTTCGTGCAGATCGACCCCCACAGGTGAGAACCCCCATTCGAGATTCCTCGTTCGCCGTCATTCATGGAGGGGGGTGAAGGAAAACGACTTATTTGATTTGAATTATTTTCTTCACACACACACGCGCGCGCGCGCATACACAAACCACACCTCGCACACACACCACACCTCAAGAAAAGGAGTAACTATATGTGCCGTGTGGGGGAATGTTTAATTTGTGAACGTATTCTTAATCTCCAGAATTCACTTGTTTACTACCGATAGTTGAACTACGAATAAAAGTACTGGCGAGCTTGTTGACACGTTTCGAAAGCGAAACATGATCGAAAAGTCTATAACAATTGCGTCTGCTTTCTTTCGCGAGTAGTTGCTTCAGCAATATCTTGACCCGTCGTTTTTACGACGAGTATTACGACATTACTTAAGATATTTGGCTTTCACAAGAAAAGGATATTCAAAACCGATGTTGCTCCTCCTACGACCACCGAATTACTCACATTCCCGTCGGAAGAACTCACCCATCCGATGTACCAGTGGTTTGCAAATCACAGACGTCAGGCTTACTGGTCTATACTTAGAAATGCAATTTTGACTTTCTGTTTTCAAGATTGGAGCTACAATGGCACTTTTCCAATAGTGAGCCACGCTACCATTGTGTTTATTCTCAATTCAAATAATGTGTAAACATCGGTTCTCCTCCAATTTTACAATTTTCCGGCGATACTATCAAACCACGCTTTTTCATTCCTTTCTATATTACGAATTCTTTGTCGTGATTGCATTTGGAATTTTTCTTCTACAGTTGTTCCGAAAGTAGTGGAAATGTCGGATCCTAATCCGAATATCAAATTGAACTACTTTTGATCGGATACTCCTAAAATTCACCTGCAGCAGCCGCAGGCTACCCCCA